TCTCAGGGATTTCGTGCGTTCCGAAGATTTGTATCCGCAAACAGGGTATGCGGGCAGCTGGAAAATCGCCCGTCGAAAACTGAGTGACAGCCGAACGAGAGTGCAACCCTTGAGTGCACTGGCAGTTGGGTGTGTGTGCATACGTATAGTGTGTTTGTCTGCTGCCGACGACGTCATGAAGGTCAACAGACAAACAATCCAAATGACCCCCCCTACTCACAACCCCCTCAACAGAGGCCCGGTCAATTGAAGAGGTTAAATTCGTGTGGGCCCCTCTTTGGCCAGCTTGTTTCGTATGCTGTGTCAGGGGCTTAGTCATGTCCCCAGGGTGTTAGTGTTAATGCCCCAAATGCCACTGGCGTGCGTTGTTGCAGTTATGGCCGGCAATTATAATTTGAACAAATTATAAATTAATGTGTGTGCTGGTCATACGGTCATCAAAGCATAATTGTAATTGTTGACTTATGTGGGTGGGGGGTGGTGTGGGTTAAGGGTGCTGGGTTAAGGCGCGGGCAAAAGGGGGTTAAGAGCTGCCATCGCTTATTATAATTTAATCAACAAAATGCTTGCTTGTGTGAAAAGTTAACTATGCGGGCATCGCTTCTTTTTTTTTGCCGTCCAGCCGAGTTAAACATTGTCGAAGTGCCACAATTTACTAATTAGTTGCGGTCAATCAAACAAACAATATGCCAAAGGGTTTAGCATAGCTGGCGGGCATTTAGTGGTTAAATGAATCAGTTTTGGAAAGAACCTGCCAAGCCTAAATCATATTGAAAACTTCAGAGAAAATCCTCCGAACTTGAATTATCAATCATTTTGATACCAGTTTGATACCATTTTGGTTTGCCTTTGCAAAGGGTTCTCCGTAAACATGTAGTTACTTACTCATGTGACATTAAACGGACAAAGAGAAGGTAGCATTATAGCTACATTTGCAAACCTGAATTAATGCACTCAGAAAGTTAATTACGTTATGTGGGAAAAAAAGGAAATTCAATTTTAAAAAAATGTATTCTATAATAAACGATTGGTAGTTTTCATTCCACAAATGTAATAGGATTATAGAAAATACTGTGTAACTTAACTACTTTAATTTCTTCAACATATTAAAAAAACTCAATATGACATATTTCTGGTTTAAATACTTTTATAGATTAATGTTTTACTTTAATTAAAAATCTCTCTAGTTATTTAAATTAATAAGGTATTAAGCAGAATGCTTAATAAGAATAAAAAACAATTCATAAGAATTTAAAGCTGCTAAAACTGACTGTTAAAATGTTCATGTGCACGAGGCTCTGAATATCTTGTTTTGACCACAGCAAGTACACAACCTAGCCTCAAAATGAACGATATTGTTGTTGCAAGCAGCTCAAAGGAGCCACAGATTGTCATATCGATGCCGGACAATCGATTATGCCGAATTAGCTAACAGTCCATAAAGAGAAATGTTGCAATATTTGGTGTAAGTCTTTCATTTTTGGAAACCAAGACCAGTTAAGACACACACACACACACAATAAATATGTGAGACTGCCAAATCTACACAAAATGCATGGATGTCTGTTTGTGTCGGCCAGAAGTGTCTGCAAAATCTTGTGGTTGCTTTGCCCAAGTTGGTAGCTGCCTAGCTGCCTGGCAGCCTATCAACCATGGCTGCTGACAGCTCATTAGGCCAGGTGTTTGATGGCCGGCAGGATGGGGACATCCCTCTGCACATGCATGAGCATGCGTAAGAGTGTTGGCCAACTGACGAGTTTTGACAATGTGCGTGGACCAGTGTGCATTTGAAGGCGTGTACATGCACCCCCCAGACCAGTCGTCCTTTAAACATCCTTTAAGCACCCGGCCACCACAACCGAACACCAAGAGTTGTCAGCTGAAGCGACATGACATGGAAAAACAGCGTTAACCACATGTCCTGCCGAGTCTTAGGTGCCTCGTGTGCCAGGCAATCACTTGATTTGATGACCAACGTCCAACGGCCAACAGCCGGTAGCCAGCAGCAGAAACATTTAGGCCACATAAAATGCAGTTTCATTTTTGTGCGAAAATTTTGTGCAACTCACACAAATGCTCTGGTAAAGTTGTTGCATTTCAAGCAAATTAAGTTAATTAAAAAGTTGCAGGATTTGTGAAGTAATTACCATAAACAAGGCAACTGTGTGCTGCGTTCCAGCTCCTGCGGTTCCTGATGTTTCTGCCGGAGATGTTGCTACTGCTGCTGTTATCGGTACACTGACAAAAAAAAATAGGTCTAGAGGAAATTTTTTTTAGTCCCATCTTGATTTTGAATTACATACATTAGAAGAAGTACATTCTGTAATAGTGGAATTTTCACTTGCAGGTATATTTCATATTACTTATTATAATTTCAGGAAATTTATGAATTATGGGAAATGAAATTCTTTAAATAAAGCATTGAATTACCTATTATATTTGAATACATATTTTTATATTGTTGGTGATAAATTTCGTGGGTCCGTTTTTTTTGTCTTAATGTTAATGGTCTTAATGGCAGAGTTCCATACGTTTTCTATGTTAAATACCTACTTTTAACTTACATTTCGGACCAGCAAATCTGGAGAACTTTTGCTATTTCGCGCAGAGCTTAAATAAATTTAGGTACTCAGAATTCTCAAATTTATTCCAGTGCATCTGGGGTGCGGATAAAGTTGTCGGCATGGAATATAAACACTTCAAGTCGTTGCGCCTGATGCGCTCAGAGCTTCAGAGCTTCATAGCTCGGTCTTCAAAAGACGACCGGCACACGTGAGAAATTCCACCAGTTAAGTGGGCGAGTGTGTGTGTGTGAGCGTAAGTGAGTGTGAGTGTGTGCCCCGGCAGGATGTTGTGCCACTTGCCAAAGGCAGATTCAAGGGTGCTCCAGTCGAAATTTAAAAACCTTTCACCGGGGAGTGAAACAAAGGAAAGGGACAGAAGCCATGAGCTAAAGAAGCCAAAGACTGAATTCAGAAATGGATTCAAGAGATATGTCAGGCGGCAGATGCCATATGGTTTAGGCCATGTGGTGCTTATCTGGAATGGGGATTGGGTTGGCGAGAAATGAGCAACTGCGGCTCCAACTTCAACTCCAACTGCAAATGCAACTGGAGACCACACGCATTCGAGACCAATGAAATGGAGGAGAATTGCCATGTACGTCGGGCACAGGTACAAAACGGAGCCGCAGGAACATGTCTCCGTGCGTCAGGAGCAGAGTCAGAAAACGGCAATCGGGGATTGGGGATTGGGGATTGGGTGTCGGGTACCGGGGGCATTCAACATCGTTATACTCCACTCCACTCGGCACTGGGTTTGTTATTGCCGACAGTTGCGGCCAGCCTTGGTGACACTTGAACATAACTGGGTTCTGTTCTCCGCTCCGCCTTTTGTGCAATGCCTGAGTGCACTGATTATGCACATGGGAGGCGGGAAAGCTCGAGTTGAGGCTGGAAAAGGGGGCTCCTGGCACAACAATGCCGCCAAGATTTACAGTCTCTTCTTGAATGGCATTTGGCTGGCGTAATTTGTTTGGGGAACCACTGCACTTCTTGGCCAAAGTCTTGGGCACTGAAGAGTTACAGTTCGCTATTCTCTACACACGAATTGCAAAAAGAAAAGATTTAATTCTAATAAGATTTGGTGTTAAATTTTCGTTGTTTACAATTACAACGTATTTTATTAAATAGATTAAATAGATAAATAGATAGATTAAGTCCCAGAAATAGGCTAAAATTATACTTCAAAATGCGTGAATCTATAAAAACTGCAGGTCAGGCAGGATTACGACTTTTAATGACTTTTCTTTTTCAGTTATGTCTTGGTTCTGTTTTGGTTCACCGATTCGCTTTGTTTGTAGCCTCTCTATTTGGTGATAAGGCAATGATAAAAAAGCTCTGGCTACAATCAACAGAAGTCAATTGCTCATTTGATTAACAGTCGACTGAATAAGCTATGAATATTTTGCAGGATGCACAGCAAGTTCACCGCTTCAAGTTCACCGATATTTAAAATTAACACACTTGCTTGTGCCATATATTTTGTACATTATCAGTCTAATTTTGCGAATGTACTTAAAGAATTTCCCATCAGATTAGATTTGTTTTGAGTGTCACAAGCGTGACTTGTGTTATCTCTGTGGGGGAATGCCTCTTTAAAAATTGATTTTAAATTGGAGGAGCCCAAAAACCGAAAGCCAAACAACATTTGGACGAGGCTCGTGTTGATTTAGCGGTTATGGTCGAAATGGTGGGTGTTTTGAGGTGATTTGGGATGTTTTGGTCAGGTGTGGACCGTTGGATACGCCCGCCTATTTGGCCAATTGGAAATGCTAATTTAATTAGCGGCTTATTTCGTAAAATTGGCGTAAAATTGAAATTTAAACTGCAAACACACATTTTCCCATCACCTTGTTGTAGCTTAGAAATTGTATGCTTATATTTTAAATTGATATATGTAAATGCTTGCCTTCTCCTGAGGCAATCAAATTCATTGTAATCTATGTAAAAGTTAAAACTAGCTAACAGTGATTTATAGAAACTAAAGCAACAATAGGCCTTAAAGTCTTTTTGGATACACCAACTATGCGGTTAAAGTTTGTTATTAATAATAGTTTGAATGGGTTAAATGTTTATTTTGCTTAATATATTGGACAATACTCCTATTTAGATCTACGCTAGTCGTTTAAAAAATTGTATTAGGTGCGTTGACTCCGTAACATTCTTATATTCAGTTCAAACTGGTTTTTTTAGTTCTCACGCTCGGCTGTTTTTGTTTTGTGCTGAGTGGAATAGGCAATTCACCGTGAAACGCCATGTAAATGATAAGAAACTGTTGAGTCATGATGTGTTTGCCAGTGATTTGTGTTTGTTTGAGAGCTCTATTTTGCAGTGAAAGCTCTCTGTTTTGCACTCTCTTGCAATCTGTACTTTTTAGAGATAAGACTCGGCTTTATAATTAAATTCAACAGGCGGCAGGTTTTCAGTAGGTGTTCAGAACGAGAATGAATACCATAAAAACTGCTCGATCTGTGGCGATTTCCAAAGGCCCCATTCGTTTTCTGAGATCATCGTCTGTCTTGACACAAACCGAGGTGAATGCCAATGTAAGTATATGGAAAAGTCAGTCGAAATAGTTGTATAAAGTAAATAATAGCTTTCAAAGGAAGCCAAGCCCTATGATGAGATTCCCCGACCCAACAAACTCAAATTCATAAGGGCATTTATGCCTGGAGGGGAATTTCAAAATGCTTCTATCACGGATTATAGTTCAACGATGCGCAATCGGTATGGTGACATCTTTATAATGCCGGGAATGTTTGGCCGCAAGGATTGGGTTACCACATTCAACACAAAGGATATAGAAACTGTGTTTCGCAACGAGGGCATTTGGCCCCATCGTGAAGGTCTGGATTCGATGGTATATTTTCGCCAGCACGTTCGACAAGATGTTTATGGAGAGGTTCAGGGTCTGGTGGCTGCGTAAGTTGAATAATTAGTTATTATAGTTCTTAGTTAACTATTGTATTTATCCACCAGTCAAGGCGAAACTTGGGGCAAACTGCGTTCCGCCATTAATCCAGTTTTCATGCAGCCAAGGGGCCTGAGAATGTACTACGAACCCCTGTCCAACATTAATAATGAGTTCATAGAGCGGTATGTAACTAGTTTTATGATTGAGAAACCCCAGTAAAGAATTTTTATACCTTTCAGCATAAAGGAAATCCGCGATCCCAAGACTTTAGAAGTCCCTGAGGACTTTACAGATGAAATTAGCCGATGCATTTTCGAATCACTCGCACTGGTGGCTTTCGATCGTCAAATGGGTCTGATTCGCCAGAACCGAGATAATCCTGATGCATTGACTCTCTTCCAGACCACAAGGGATATTTTCAGGCTGACATTCAAACTCGACTTTCAGCCCTCGATGTGGAAGGTAATTTCGACGCCAACGTACAGGAAAATGAAGAAAACCCTTAACGACAGTTTGGATGTGGCCCTCAAAATACTGAGGGAAAATCAAGATGCGCTGGAAAAGCGTCGCCAAGCGGGTGAAAAGATAAACAGTAACAGTATGCTGGAGAGACTGATGGAAATCGATCCGAAAGTGGCGGTGATTATGGGTTTGGACATACTTTTCGCCGGCGTGGATGCCACTTCAACACTTCTTTCGGCGGTGCTACTCTGTCTGGCTAAGAATCCGGCGAAACAGCTTGAATTGCGAAAGGAACTGCTAAGGATAATGCCCACAAAGGACACTCTCTTGAACGAAGAGACCATGAACGATATGCCCTATTTGAGGGCTGTGATAAAGGAGGCCCTGCGATATTATCCCAATGGCTTAGGAACTTTGAGAAGCTGCCAAAATGATGTGACACTTTCGGGATATAATGTGCCCAAGGGGACGACCGTTTTGTTGGGTTCGCAGGTCCTCTTGAAGGACCAAACTTTCTATGCTGAACCAGAGGAATTTAAGCCAGAACGTTGGCTAAGGGATCAGGAGACGGGAAAGAAGGCCCAGGTCAGTCCATTCACCTTCCTGCCCTTCGGTTTTGGACCCCGCATGTGCATCGGCAAGAGAATCGTGGATCTGGAAATGGAGACCACTGTGTCGAAGTTGATTCGCAATTTCCACGTGGAGTTCAATCGGGATGCCAGCCGACCCTTCAAGACCATGTTCGTGATGGAACCGGCCATTCCATTCCCCTTCAAGTTCACCGATATCGAAAACTAAATCCCTTTTTATAAGTTGTAACAAGTTCCTTATAGCTCTAAAGTAAATATTGTTTTTACAATAAATGTTTTATCTATACCACCAGTGGCTGATTAGAACTTTTCTTACCTATTGCATTTTATTGTGCCACTGTCTTGATAAACAAAAGCCAGATTTTGCCGATATATAACTTTAATAAATATATATAATTTATACAGAAGAATATTTTTCCTTCACTGCTTTGCAAACTTCTGACTAAAACTCTGTATACTAGCCTCTGCAGGGGTTTAAAAAACGGACGCTGTTGGCGCGTTTCTATTATTTTTTCAGCACTGTATATATGATTCGCTTGGAAATTATACTTATTGATAAACTATGAATGGAGGCCTGTCCCGCTGAGCTCAGATCATGTTCGGTATTCAAGCTTCCGGTGCCTTAAATCCGTTCACCGATAACGGCCGATAACGCTACTGATTTCTGACTTTAGAAAATGTTGTGCTGATTGCTGAGCAAATTTATTACTAAAATTATTTAAGACAACCACTAAAATAAACCGTCGAAGTCGGTGATTTAGATTGAAAAATTGTTTGATATGAGTCACCAGCTGAAATGTAGAAGTAACAATTTTTTTGTGTCATTTCATTCGTGAATCTGCTGAGATGCAGACTTATTTAGCTTGGATTTTTTTGATCACTTGGTTTCTTTGCCATCTGGAAGCCTATCAGTTTTTATACCCTTGCAGAGGGTATTATAATTTCAGTCAGAAGTTTGCAACGCAGTGAAGGAGACATCTCCGACCCTATAAAGTATATATATTCTTGATCAGCATCACTAGTAGAGTCGATCTAGCCATGTCCGTCTGTCCGTCCGTCTGTCCGTCTGTCCGTCTGTCAGTCTGTCCGTCTGTCCGTCTGTCCGTCTGTCCGTCCGTTTATATGCAAACTAGTCTCTCAGTTTTAAAGCTAGCTGCATGAAACTTTCCCAAAAGTTGTCTTTCTATTGCAGGTAGTATATAAGTCGGAACGAGCCGGATCGGACGACTATAGCATATAGCTCCCATAGGAACAATCGGAAAAATAAATGAAAAAAAATTATAACTTTGCTGTTTTTTAATTTTTTGTTTTGTTCTTCGACGTATAGTAATGGTTAAATATTTCCGATTTACGGTTTAAATTTCATCAAAATCGGACGACTATAGCATATAGCTCCCATAGGAACAATCGGAAAAATAAATGAAAAAAATTATAACTTTGCTGTTTTTTAATTTTTTGTTTAGTCCTTCGACACTTAGTAATGGTTAAATATTTTCGATTAACGGTTTAAATTATATCAAAATCGGACGACTATAGCATATAGCTCCCATAGGAACAATCGGAAAAATAAATGAAAAAAATTATAACTTTTCTGTATTTTAATTTTTTGTTCAGTTCTTCGACATATAGCAATGGTTAAATTTTTCAAAATTATTAGGTTTAGATTTTATCAAAATCGGACGTCTATATCATATAGCTCCCATAGAAATAATAAAAATATATAAAATAAATATCAAATAATTGAGCTGCTAATCATCATATCTTCAATGTTTTTAAACATATACGCAGTAAATCATAATTTCAATGTTTTCAAAAATTTTAAATTCTTGCAATAGTTGCAAGGGTATATGAACTTCGGCTTGCCGAAGTTTGCTTTCTTTCTTGTTGGAAAATAGTTGTGGACATTTAAATTCAGGCAGAGTTGTTAATGAAAAAAATTCAAGCATACAATACGCTGCTTGGATGGCAGCCGTACAAAATGAGACCCATTTTGTGTGTGGAGGCACGCTGATTCACAATCGTTCGTATATTTATAAAAATCAGCAATTATAATTAATAATTAACACTGTTTTTTCAGGTTTTGTATTAACTGCCGCTCATTGCATATATGGTCAAACAAATTTGTAAGTAATTATAGGATTTTACAATTTAAAGAGTCGAAGAGTCTAAATAACTCTGTTAGCTTATGTGTTGCAATATTGTAGTTTTATTCTGTATGAGCTGCTTGCGTGTTTAAAGTTCCTTTCGGCTAAACATTTGATTTATCTTTGATCGCATACTTGTAAGTGCAAATATTAACATATATTAAAATAGCATATTACTTGTACTGATTATAGATTTGTAGGATTGGGAGCATACAGCAAAAGTGAGCCCACCTTTCAGGTCAAAGTCACTGCTGCAATTATACACCGTTCGTCGTCCACATTTGATTTTCAGTTTGATGTAGGCCTGCTCAAATTATCAAACAGGATCAAATATAATTGTAAGTGAAATCAAAAAGCTATTAACAGATGATAATTGATGAATTTCTCTGCAGTCCACGCCTGACCAATCTGTATTATTTTGGATAAAAAACATAAGAGTTTGCTACCGACAACGTTTAAAGCCTTTGGCTGGGGACAAAAAAGTGACAACCTGGAATCTGATATACTTCAAACCATCACCCTGGACCATTACAATGAAAGAGTGTGTAACAGGCGCATGAATTTTACCATGAGTTCGGAACAGATATGTGCAGGTGCCTATAACGGCGACACCTGTGGTGGCGATTCCGGAGGTCCATTGAGCACTACTTTGACCGTTAATGGATTGCCCCGCGAAGCGCAGATCGGTATCGTAAGCTTAGGCCAAAGTACCTGCAATGGACCGGGCGTGTATACCAAAGTGGCCAGTTATGTGGATTGGATTCAGAAAATTATATCCAACTTTGATGATTCCAATAAGACACAGCTCGCAATGCCACAACAATCTCCGCCGACAATGGTTAAAGACATGTGGTTGCACAGCGACTGCGGTGGCGGTACCATGGCATCAATTTTACGGGCCGACATTTTTGGACATAACTTCAGGGCCCATGGAGTGCTGATCACAGACCGTACGTATCTGTACAGTAAAAACTATTATAAATGATTTGCTATTTAATACTGAAGTTTTAAGTTTAAGTTAGTTAGTTAATTAGTTAAATATTTGCTGACTTGCCCAGATTTGCATTTATGCAAATTGATCGGCAGGGCAGTGCAATATACAACACACATTTTATTAGATTTCGTTGAATTTGTAAACTCTATTAATTTTTAGGTTTTGTCATAACCACTGCCAGACACTTATCGGAAAATCATGATGCGCTGTAAGTAATTTCAATTGTTTGATAAGAAGATATTGATTTTAGATATAGAGTAGTTTTGTAAATTATTTGAAATGATTTTTCAAACAATGCCACAGAAAAGTTATTCCAATCGGAATGGGATGGACATATGGTGACCACCGAGTTGACTCAGTCTTTAAGCAAACTAGTGATATAGCTTTGCTTAAACTTAGTCGACCGGTGAGGCCCACAGGTAAGCTTATTTTAATGGATTATCGAACCGATCAACAAATTTTATCTTCTCCAGATGGAATGAAACCGATCTGTATGCTTTCGAACGAACAACTCCAATGGATGGGCGAACCTCCTCCGCCCTTTTCTGTATTTAACCCCGTTAGCGGTGGACATTTTTATTTATATACTCAGGAGTGTCCATGGATAATCAATGCGGATGAAATTTGTGTGGGAACTCCTCCTGGAATAAGCACTACATTTGGAAAGGCTGGCGACATATTGGGAAAACAGATTATTGTTTCGAAAAAAGTTCGGTTTGTTTTGTTTGGTGTTGTCAGTTATTCAAGTGATGGTTACCACATTCTCACAAATGTAATAAAACATACAGGGTGGATCGCAAATACCGTTAAACGAAATCAATTTTAGCAACCAAGTATAATAGCTTTTCCATGGCTTTAAATTTATATTATATGTTACTTTTGAACCTCTGATTTATGATGGTATTCTTGGATTTTATTTGAAGTTTGTCGACGGATCTACAAGATACTCAATACAATGATGTAAAAATACTTTTGTAAACATTTTTTAAGTTTTATTATTATTCTTCTTAATAATAAAAAAAATATATATATGTTAATTTCAGATTGATAAATAAAAAGCTATAAACGTGTGAATTTTGTTTTAAGTTTTACAAATAACGCTTGCTCTGCACGTTTTATTTTCAAACCAAAAGAAAACTTCTATTTTAAGTATAATTTTTTTTTCTAAAATAAAAAGAACAAATTGTAATTTTTAAAAATTTGAAAATTTTTTTGTGTGCAATTTTTGTTGTGTATGTATAGTTTCAGTTATCCAGGCATAAGGTAGCACTCACCAAAGACACTTTTAGCTGGCTCTTTGGCGTTGGCGCAACTGGCAGGCAGGTGAGAGGAGTTGTCCTTTACTTCGCCTGAAATATTTCTAACGGCAACATCGACATCAGGAGCAGAAGCATCAACAGAAGCATCAGCAGAGGCATCAGCACCCAAAGCACCGGCAGGAAAATCAGGAGCAGGAGCGGCAGGAGTAGACATATTCGCCTGCGGCTGGCGGAGTTATGCTAACTGGCACTCAAAGCAAAGCGCGGCCAAAAGCTCAGGCGGTTTTCCCTTCTGCCCTCTGCCCCTCTGTTCCTTTTGTTGTTGTTGCTCGGCACTCGGCAGTGGCAGCTTGTAACAATAATTTAAGCGATTTTGCGCTTTTTGCGAGTGGGTTAATGGCATGCCCGGGATCTGGAAACTGCGAACTGTGAGCTGGCTACGGGAACTGGAAACCAGGAAGCGGGTATCCTTTGCCGTGGCGAAAATTCCACTTTTGTAGCAAACGCACATAGCTTATGAATTCCGCAATCCTGGATGCGGTGCAGCAAAATGGTGGGTATGGTACAGAGGTCTTTGTCCAGTACAAAGTAAAAAATGTATAACATGTGTTTTTCTTTTTTGAGTGGGTGGGTGGGGACATGCACTGTCCAGAGCCAGAGCTATATAAATCGCTTTGTGTCTGCTGTATATTAAAATTCAATTTTAAAATACGCCACGCACAACCGGGCGTATGCGTAATGCGGCATGCAATCATTTGCGTGCGCCTTGGCTTGGAAATTCCTTTGCCATAACTAATCTCGAAGGCTAACCAAGGACCAGTCCTGACGTTTCATATTTCTAGCTCGCCGCACCGTACCGCCAACCCTTTCTATTCCCTTTCCCTTTCCCATACCCATCCTTTCCCTCTCATCTTTTATTTTATTTAATCTTTTCTCTTTTGCTTTTTTTTTGTGTGAAAAATTTCATACTCATCAAGTTGACAAAGAAAAAGTTTTTCATTATTACATTTCGCTGTCATTTGGGCGCAGAAATAGCTTGGAAAAGTTGTCGGCTGCTGGTGAAACTCGAGTGCAGCGCGTAAATGAGCCACTCCCATTTTGAGTTTCCCGCCCGCAGCAGTCGGCGCTCATCATCAGATTTCCCCATCTAAGGAAAATGGGATGGCAGCGGCGATGGAAATGAGGAAAAACCGGGCCCATTGCGTAGCTTGACGTAATTTTCTTGGCCTGCCTGACGAGTCGCATCCTTGCACATTAATCCATTGGTGCCTGCCTGGATCTCGGAACTTGGAACTCGGATCTCGGGCTCAGCTTCGGTCTTTGGTTCTTTGGTCCTTTGGTCCTTTGGTCCTGGCTGCACGCAAATGAGGGTATGGTCAAATCACTCACTGTCAGCCCGTGTCCCAAGGAATGCGTTCAGCATGTCCTTTAATTTTTTCTCCCCCTGAGACCAGTTCTATTCCCCTTTTTCTGCACTTCGAAAAAATTCGTCTTTATAAAATATTTGTGTAAATTTATTGCATTGCATATTATTTAAAATTTAGATAGGTAACAACAATAAATGTCTTTTTTAATTGAAACACTTATTCGATTGGTAAGCATTGGAAATTTAAGTTTAAATTTAAGTTTTTGTGAGAAAAGTCTACAAAAAACAAATGATATTCACTAACTTGTAAAAAAAAGGAAAATGTGGAATTGGTGTTCATCAAAAACAAATTATTTGTTTTAAATCTAAGAATTAAGAAGATATTTACATGGTTTATGGTTACATGGTCGATGGTTTTTATAAATCTTATATTTTTTTCGACATATTTTGAAGTTTTGATTATTTTGCTTACGATTTATTTAAAACCTCTTAAAATGATAAAAACCTTTACAGTAAATTAAGAACTGCAGTGAAAATGTTGAAGACAAATTGTTTTTTTTTTTCTCCTACCTGAAAACTATCCAATTGATTAGCCATTTTGGTGACATTTTTCTCATTGTGCAGGCCCAAGCATTTTCTATAACTTGACGTTTTGCCATTGTCCCCCGACCGTTTTCCATTTCCCATTTTCCGTTTCACCAGCCCCTTGGCTCCTTTGTCCGGCTTGTACTTGTGTTGCTTCGCTTGCCGCTTTGCTGCCTGTCAGCGCAGCTTAAGATAAAAACTTTCCTTTCCACCCGAAAAGGGGCAACAACACCAGCCAGTTTTAAGGCGGGCCATGGGCATGGGCATGGGCACAAAAAAAGCAGGCAGAATATCGCTCGAAAGGGTTGACTCTGACATTTAGCTTTCGCATATTTGCACACACCCCGCGCTCTGGACCCCCTTCCCCCTCTCCCCTCTCCCCGAACCCTGCCCCCTGCCCCTGCCACCAACAATATATTTTATAGACTAAGGCGAAGACATGACAAATGCTCAAATAGAAATTCTTCAACAAGATTCTTGGCCGAAACTTAAGTTCATTTTTTGGTTGTGCACATCGCATTGGGGGTTTTTGTTAGAGCGTTACCAGAAAGAATTCAAATTAAAATGCGATTGCTCTGGGCATACTCGATTTTCGTGTGATTTCCGACACGGCCTGTCAATGGTTTTTGCATTTGCCTGCCAGGCTGAGTATTAGCTTCAATTTCATATCTTTTAAAAGTACCGCTCTAATTTTCGATTTTCATATCCCACACTTTCTAAAATCACGGTTGGCAAATTTTAGTCTTCACAAGTACTAACAAATTTGGTTTGGAAATGTCTTTGATTGAAGTATTCAATTTAATTTTTTAAAGTATTCAACCAATTTGGCCTTTAAAAAAAGTGCAATTGATTGTTTAAAATTTGCTTACTATTATTAGCAATAAAGAAGCTTAATCAAGTTTGAAATAACTTTTCAAATTTTAATTACTTAAACCAATCAAGTTTGCAAATATAAACATCAACTCTAAATTTCTTGATGCTCCCTACCATTTCATTGCTTAAACCTTGGTCTATTTGTTTTTTAAGCAATTCAAATAGGTTTCACTTTTCATATATAAACAATTTGTTTAAAATGTATAAGATGTAAGTAAATTATAAATTTGATTTTGATAGAAGGGCATTTACTTTATTGCTCTAAGCCTTCAAATAATTTTTAGTTCGCACTGGCATAATTTGGAACATATGACCGTGCAGCTGGTGCTCAGATGTTTTTCCGCTTTCCCCGCCGCCAGTCGAAATTTTCATTCATCAGGCGCAGCGCACACGCATTGCCGAATTTGCACCAACACCAGTGCAATCGGAGGCACCAATTGCCACCCCAAACACACCAAGCCAAACACCCACCAACACCCGCACAACTCACTCACCCATTCATATATTTTATGTTTTGTTTACATTGCCGGCTTGTGCAGCCAAAACAGCAACAACAACAGTTTCTCGACGAAAAGTGTTGGGAAAGCCTCGTGACGTCACCAGGGAAATGCGTGCTATAAACGAAAGTATAAGAGAAAAACTGTTATACCAAAGAGAAAAAATGTGCAAGAAGAGCAGAAAAACGTTAACGATACGAGTGCGCAATTAAGGAAGGAACTCGCAATTTAGCTGCTCATTTTGGAGCGTTTTGCGGTGAGTTTAAGTTTCCTCAAAATGGCCGAAAGAGAGGGGGAGAGCGAAAGAGAAAGAGCATGTGCGAGAGAGAGAGCTAGTTCGCAACGTCATCGGGAAAAGCATCAACAAGCTTACTGGCTGCTGAAAATCGTCATTACGTCGAGATCATTATTACGAACGGCGAGGAGCGAGAAAAGTTGTCGCAGAAACGAGTCAACGCTCGAGAACGTCGGTCATTGCGCTGTGTGTTGCACTTTGTCGGCTAAAGCACACACACCCACACATAAGCACACACACTCGGCTAACACGGATTCTCACACACACACACACATACACTCGAGACAACGAAAGAGAAACAGAAACTATTGCATACCGCCAGGCGCACATGGTGCTTAAAGTGTGAGTGCGCCATTGTGCTTTGTGTTTGTGATATCTAAACGGGGTTTCAAGAAAGGGGCTTACAAAATTATTTAAAAAATATACAGACAGCAAGGAACTATGCGAATACTATCAAAAAAAAAAAGCAAACCACTAACAACTTTGGCACGTGTAAGTTGATTTAAGCTATAACTTTTGCTTAACAAACTAGAGTGTTTTTTTTTGTACAGCGATTTAAAATAGTTTTAAATTTATCTTATTTAAATTTTAAGCAGCAAAACCATGTTTCTGTTCTAACCAACTTTTTCTTCTATTTTTGCCGGCTTGCCAATGGCTTTTGCTCTCTTAGCCGCTCTCTTGCGCTCTTTTTGGCCAACTCGCCTGCGCCAAACGGAAAAAGAATGGCCAGAAAAACAAAATAAAAAGAGCGCCAAGAGCATAGTAAGCGGCGTAGTTCAAGTGCCGGTTGTACTACGCGGGGTCAAAGGGTACGGAGCTGCTTCTTCCACCTGCGAAAATATTCCAATGGCACGCCTCCTCATATCATTAAAATACCATTTTGTCTGCGCCCGAGACTTTTGCATCTTTTCCACCTGACACCGGCATTTTTGTTTCTCTCCTTCGGTTTTTGTTGTTCTTTTTTGCCAGGGACTGTATCTTTGTTGTGGCTTTATTGTTATGGCGTTCGGCTGCACACTGTATCGCCCAGACTCTCAACTTCCGGTGTTGCACGTGTCGCATGTTGCTGCTGCTACTGCTGCTGCTGAAATTTCCGCAGCGGCAACAAAAGTGCGAAATAATGACCGACTGCCTGTCACATGGCTGACTGCCTGGTACTACTCGTGTTGCCATTGCTTTTGGCCATTTTCTCCTGCTCAACGGATGTTGTCTGTAAAGTTGGTTAAACAATTTATTTGCCCCACACAATGCATATACTCTATATGGCCTGGGCGCAGTTTGTTGACCTTTGACACTGGCCTGCGCCACCCTTTCACCTGGTTCCATAATTAATATACTGATTAATATATAGCTTAACCGACAAAGGCGAACTGTCATTAAGGTCCTGGCAATTGCCTTCATCACGGGATGAAAAAACCACCTCCTTTGATGGCAGTTTTTTATTAAAAATTCCTGGGCATCATTATCGTGGGAGTTGCGTGAAAATTCCGCTGGCAAATAAAGTGATATGAGAAACGGGTGGTCGGATCGTGTAAACGGCCATAATCTGAAAGGCCAACTTGGTACCTGGTTGCCTGCCTGCCAAATGCGTCAA